GGGAGATGAGGAGGAAGAGAGAATGGAATTTTACAGGAGGAAGATGGGAAACAAGGTTATAGATCATACGTAAGTGGAAATAGAGGATGGCAGGAAGAGAGAGAGAGAAAGTCGAGAGGAGGGAGGAGAGGAGTATGGAATGAGGAGGGCCGGAGGATTTTGAGGGAAAAGTGGGGGAGATAGGAGAAATAGGAGGAGAAGAGGAAGAGATAGATGGAGAATGGGAAAGAATAGAGGAGAGGATGAAGGAAGTATTAAGAGCAACAGAGGAGGACTGGAGGAAAGGGAAGAAGGAAGAAAAGAGGATGGTTGGTTGGGGAGGGCAGAGAGGAGAAAAGAAAGGTAAGGAGGGAGCTGAGGAGATGGTGGGAGGGAAGGAGGTGAGGGGGAGGAATATAGGAAGAGAAGAGGGGATTACAAGAGATTGTGTGAGAGAGGAAGAAAAAGGAAGAAGAAAAACGAGAAATGGGAAAAGAAGGCAGCAGAGGTGAAAAGAGAATCGGAGGTATGGGAGATAATAAACAGAGAGAGAAGAAGATGGAAAGGAATAAACGAAGAGAAATTGAGATGAGAAAGTGGAGAGAATATTTATGAAGTTGTTAGGAGGAACAGAGGAGAGGAAAGTAAAAGGAAAAGAAGAGAGGAGGGGAACAGGAAGACAGGACAGAAGAGGAGGAGGAGGAGGAGGAGGAGAAATAAGTAGAGAGGAAATGAGAGAGGCAATAAAGAAGCTGAAAGCAGGAAAAGCGACAGGGATAGATGAGATTCCGAATGAGGTATGGAAGTATGGAGGAGGGAAACGTGGAGGATGGATGGGGATTTTTGTAATAGAATATGGAGAGGAGAAGGATGGCCGAAGAGATGGAGAGAGGGATATGAGGGAAGTGATTACACCGATAAGGAAAAAAGGGGATGGAAAGGAGGTGGAAGACTACGGGAGAGAGTAACCATGATGCCATCAATGTATAAGGTTTACACGATGATACTGACAGAAAGATTGAGGAAGGATGTTGGAGGAAAAAGGGATAGTGCCAGAAAATCAGATGGGGTAGGAGAGGAGAGGAATGGAACAAATAGACAACATATACGTGATGAATTATCTAATCAATAGACAACTGGAAAAAAAAAAGAAAGGGAAGGGAAGGCTAACGGCATGTTTATAGATCTGAGAGCAGCATTGGACTCGGTAGACAGGGAGAAATTAATGGAGGCAATGGAGGAGAGAGGAGGGTAGTAAGGAAAGGATTGAGAAGAGGGTAGAGATGGTGATGAGAGAGCAAACATGCAGGATAAAGATAGGGGAAGAAGTTGGAGAGAGTTTTTGGATTGAGAAAGGGTAGTAAGACAGGGGTGCCCATTGAGTCCAATACTATTCAACATCCTAATAGCGGACTTAGAGGAAAAAATGGGGGAAGGTGAGAAGAGGAGGAGTAAGATAGGAGAAAAAAGGATTTATACATTGGCATACGCGGATGATATGGTGTTGTTGGTAGAGGAGGAAGAGGAAGAGGAACTGAGAAGTATGGTAGAAAGGTTAGAAGAATATCTAGACAACAAGAGATTGGAGTTGAACGCAAAGAAGACGAAGATAATGAGGTTTAGGAGAAAGGGAGGAAGATGGAAGAAGAGGGAGTGGAGATGGAAAGGAGAGAAAATGGAGGGAGGAAGTGAAGGAGTTTACGTATCTGGGATATAGACTACAGAGGAATGGAGGACAAGAAGGACAGTGAAAGATAGGATGAGGAGAGCGGCGGCTATTATGGGGCAAGTATGGGGAATAGGAAAGAGAAAGTTTGGAAAAGATTGGGGGAGAAGATTATGGCTTTTCGACAATTGGTGTGGACAGTGATGAGCTACGGGGTGGGAAAATATGGGGTGGATGGAAGGAGGAGAGAGGGAATGGAAAGGATGGAAGAAAGATACCTGAGAGGATGGATATAGAGTAGAGAGGGGAACGCCAGGTTATATGGTGAGGGAGGAACTGAGAAGAGAGAAGCTGAGGATAAGAGCCGGAAAAAGGGCATGGAATTTCGAGAAGAGAATGGAGGAAGGAAGAGGAAGCGAGCTAGCGAGGAAATGCTGGGAGGAAATGAGAGAAAGGGCGAGAAAATAGGAGAAATAGAATAGGAAGGAGCGAAAATAGGAAGAGTGGGATCGAGTGGGAAAGGGAAAGGGAAGAATATTTCAGGAAAGAGGTAGGAGGATAGAGGAGGTGGAGGAGAGAAGAGGTATGGAGGAGGGATGGTTTGGGGAGTTAATAAGGAGGGATCTGGAGGAGCAGAGGAGGGAGGGAGAGAGAGGAGAGAATAAAGGGATCGGAATTTAACAGATAGTACAAGGAGGTTAGAGGAGAAGGAGTGCCAGAATACTTAAGAAAGGATTGGGGAGAGAGTAGATGGAGGAGGATAGCAAGATTCAGATTAGGAATGAGATTTTAGAAAGCAGGTATTGGGAGGAAGCAGAAAAGAGGAAATGTAGGATATGTGGAGAGGAGGTAGAATCGTGGGAGCATGTATGGGAGAGGTGTGAAGTGAGGGGGAGAGGAAAGAGAGTTGGCAGGAAGTAGTGAGGAGATACTAGGAGAAAAGGGAGAGGGGGAAGGATGGAGGAGAGAGATAGAGAGAGAAAGGGAGATATGGAAAGGAGAGAGGAGTGTGGAGAGAGTAGGAGGGGAAGAGGATGATGGAGAGAGAATGACGTGAGGGGGGCAAAGGGAAGAATGTTTAAGAAAAGAAAGCAAGAGGAAACGGAAGTCCAAGAAGCGTGTGTGTTGTTACATGGGGTTGGGCAGAAGCCAAGGGGAAATGGCCTGGACAACGGGCGACCCAAAGCGGAAGTCCAACCCCTTAGGACAGATAGGTTAAGTTAGCAATAAGATAGGTTGAGAGGTTAATAGCGAAGAGGTCATGGTAGCGTGCGTTTTTTATTATTTGTTTTTTTTTTTTGTTTTGTTTGAATTACTACCTTTGTATATGCGGCTGATGTATTGTTAAATTGTAAGAGAATTGAAACCCCAAGGGGACCAATAAAATTTACTAATACTACTACTATTATAAAGAAGAATGGAAGAATTGCAGTCAGTAAGAATTATTTTTTATTTCCTGAAAAAGAATGTCTTTAGAACCAAAATGGAATAGTCGACGGATACTTCATCAATCATTCTTCGAAACTGGAAACATAAAAGTCAAGAAAAGTAATATATAATTGAGCCTGCATTGATTAAAAAAATCTCTGACTTGACCACAATTGACCGACGTGTTGGGTAAATACGGTCGCTTCTTGAAATAATGCCAGCTGGTCGCTAGCAGGCAAAATTCGGTGGTATATTTTGATTACGAGCTTAAAATCCATAAAACCAATCTAGGCCAGCACACTTTTTTTCTTTATTAAAATTATTGGGGATGTTGTAACGTTCAGCAAAATCGAATGCTTCGCAGCGCACTTGAAAGTGTCTATACAAATTTATATATATATATATATATATATGACTTGATAGACGTATATTATACGTATGTAAAATGTATATATAATGACATATTATTAAAGACTGAATAGATGTATATTATACGTATGTATAATATACATAAATTATGCATTATTTACTACTAATATACATATATATACATATATATATATATATATATATATATATTTGAGATTATATACTACGTATACGTAAAATGTACTTATGCTGACATATTATTGATGACTGATAGATGAATGTTACACGTATGTAAAATATACATAAATATTGCATTAATATACATCTATATTACAATTAATATTCTTATACAACCGCCTTCTGGAGACCATCCCGGTCGAGCATCAGCTGGGCGGGACGACCGGCGCGCGGCTACCAGCAGACGAGCACTAAGTGCTGGGTCTCCGATGGAATCCGCACGAGGACACCTTCTCGCTGTCTGTCCGGCTGACTCCAGCGGCCCTACCGACCAAGCAGACCGTACTGGCACAGACCGCTCGCCTGTTCGACCCGCTGGGCTGGCTAGCACCGATTCTCGTACGTGCGAAATTGCTGATCCAGTCGGCGTGGTTGCAGCAACTAGAGTTGGACGCGCCGCTATCATGCGAGGACGCCGCTGCATGGACAGTCCTCGAGGAGGAATTGCCGTCGCTGGAGGAGATCCGACTGCCACGCTAACTGCACAGCGACACACCATACAGCTCCGTGGAGCTCCACGGCTTTTCGGATGCCTCCGAACGTGCTTACGCTGCCGTGGTCTACAGCAGAGTGAAAAGTGGCGGACTGCTCAGCATCAACCTAGTGGTCGCTAAGAGCAAGGTGGCCCCGTTGAAGCGTGTATCGCTTCCGCGACTAAAACTCTGCGGAACGGCCTTTCTGTCCAAACTAGCCGAACATGTGCGGCTCTCCTTGAATCTGGAGAAGTCGACGATCACCCTCTGGACGGATTCTACTGTGACGCATGGCTGGATACGTGGACATCCTGCAAAATGGAATACATATGTAGTTAACAGCGTTGCAGAAATTCACCGCGACGACCAGGATGCAAGATGGCGGCACGTACTTGGTAAGGAGAACCTTGCAGACTGTGTCTCCCGGGGAGTGTCGCCGAAGAAGCTCCTTCAACATCCTCTGTGGTGGCGAGGGCCGGAATATCTCCGCCATCGTGCGGACTTTTGGCCGAAGGACGTCGGACACCTGGAAACGGCTGACTTACCGGAGCAGCGACCGTTACGATGCCATGCAGCCACCGAGAAGCGAGAACCTGAGGAGCTCAACCGCTTCTTCTGCCTTCGTCGCTTGCTTTGCGTGTCAGCCTGGATCTGGCGCTGGAGGCCACGAAGACTTCGTTCGACAAATGGTGAAGCTGTGTCGGCGTCCTGGGACCTGAGGAGCTGGAGGCCGCCCTGTCGAGATGGATCCGGTTAGCTCAGGAGTCGAGTCATACCATGCAGAGCTGCAGGACATCCGTGCTGGAAGGACGCTGCCTGCCCGAAGCTCGCTCCGCAAGATGGTTTTCATGCTGGATGACGAGGGCACCCTGAGAGTCAGCGGGCGCCTAAAACATGCAATTTTGGATGCCGACCGACAACATCCAGTCATTTTGCCGCCGCAATCTCACCTGACTCACCTGGTGATTGACGCCGCCCACAGACGTACATTTCACGGAGGAGTCCAGGCCACCTTAGCTCACATCAGGCAACGATTTTGGATTCCGCGAAGACGCCAACTGGTTCGCCGCCACATCCACAGCTGCCACCCATGCGTCCGATGGCGGGCGGTCACTCCACGGTCAAAGATGGGCGACCTGCCGAGAGCGCGCGTCACTCCGAGCCGTCCATTTCAGCACACCGGCGTGGACCTCGCCGGCCCGGTGTGGCTCAGAACGACGAGAGGCCGAGGACACAAGGCCTACAAAGGCTTCCTAGTTGTATTCGTGTGTTTCAGCTCCCGCGCCGTACACCTTGAGGCCGTCAGCGACTACACCGCCGAGGCATTTCTAGCGGCCTTTCGTCGGTTCGTGTCTCGACGAGGGCACAGTCGTTTACAGCGACTGCGGCACTAACTTTGTAGGCGCGGACCGACAGCTCAGGGACCTCTTCAAGGCTGCTGGCCGTGAGATCCACACTATTGTCGGGCACCTTGCAGACCGAGGAGTACGGTGGAGCTTCAATCCACCGGCAGCTCCACACAAAACATTTCATATAAGAATCGATGTACTTTTAATAAGGGTTTTGCGAAATTTTTAGTAATTAAAATTACATTTAACCGTTTTTTATGACTTTTTTGGTTCTTTAGCTTCCATTTCGCCCAGATTAAAACGATGACATCGTATAAATATATTATTATTTAATATAACAAATACACTCGGTTTTTGGGGTAACGGTAGTCGCTTGCACAGGAAAATTGCAGTCGAACGTAACCTATTAACCATCGGGCACATGCCTGCAAACGTCGAGTGACAGCGTGAACATTACGGTATGTATATACCTATATTTATACAACAAATTTGATGGAATTTATCCAAACTCAGTGAGAAATGAATAATATGCATGATTTACATAAAATATATGTTCAATTTGATGGACATTTCAGTCTTGAAATAACGCCGGAATTTTAGGTTAAAGTTTCAATTTTTCTGTTAATCATTAATTGTAATTATATTTTCAATTTAAGATGTTTCGTTATAAGACGAGAAAAACAGAAAGAAAAAAATATCTTCAGACGAGCTCAGAGCAGCTATCGGGGCAGTAAAAGCTGGAATTCCCATTCGTCAGGCTGTGACTGCATCAAACGGGGACATGTCTGCAAACGTCGAGTGACAGCGTGAACATCACGGTATGTATATACCTATATTTATACCACAAATTTGATGGAATTTATCCAAACTCAGTGAGAAATGAATAATATACATGATTTACATATAAAATATGTTCAATTTGATAGACAATTCAGTCTAGAAATAACGTCGGAAATTTAGATTAAAATTTCAATTTTTCTGTTAATCATTAATTGTAATTATATTTTCAATTTAAAATGTTTCGTTGTAGAGAGTAAAAATTATTTTTTACTTTCAAAAAAAAGATGTCTTTAAAACCAAAATGGAATAGTTGACGGATACTTCATCAATCATTCTTCGAAACTGGAAGCGTATAAGTTAAGAAAGCTAATATATAATCGAACCTGCATTGATTAAAAAAATCTCAGGTGGTATATTTTGATTACGAGCTTGAAATCCATAAAACCAATCTACGCCAGCACACTATTTTTCTTTATTAAAATTATTGGGGATTTTGTGACGTTCAGCAAACTCAAATGCTGCGCCGCGCACTTGACGAGGTGTCTATTTATATATATATATATATATATATATATAGGGAGAATGGAGGAATTGCAGTCAGTGAAAATTATTTTCTTATTTCTGAAAAAAAAAAAGATCATTAAAACTAAAATGGAATATTTGACGGATACTTCATCAATCATTCTTTGAAAGTGAAAGCATAAAAGTTAAAAAAGCTAATATATAATATATATATATATATATATATATATATATATATATAGAGAGAGAGAGAGAGAGAGAGAGAGAGAGAGAGAGAAAGAATGGGGGAATTGCAGTGGGTAAGAATTATTTCTTATTTTCTGAAGAAAAAAATGTCTATAGAACCAAAATGGAATAATTGACGGATACTTCATCAATCATTTTCGAAAGGAAGCATAAAAGTTAAGAAAGTAATATATAATTAAGCCTGCATTGATTAAAAAAATCTCTGAATTGACCACAATTGACCGACGTGTTGGGTAATTACGGTCGCCTCTTGAAATAATGCCAGCTGGTCGCTAGCAGGCAAAATTCGGTGGTATATTTTGATTACGAGCTTGAAATCCATAGAACCAATCTAGGCCAGCACACTTTTTTTCTTTATTAAAATTATTGGGGATGTTGTAACGTTCAGCAAAATCGAATGCTTCGCAGCGCACTTGAAAAAGTGTCTATATAAATTTATATATATATATTGTGACTTGATAGACGTATATTATACGTATGTAAAATGTATATATAATGACATATTATTAATGACTGAATAGATGTATATTATACGTATGTATAATATACATAAATTATGCATTATTTACTACTAATATACATATATAATATACATATATATATATATATATATATATATATATTAGATTATATACTACGTATACGTAAAATGTACTTATGCTGACATATTATTGATGACTGATAGATGAATGTTACACGTATGTAAAATATACATAAATATTGCATTAATATACATCTATATTACAATTAATATTCTTATACAACCGCCTTCTGGAGACCATCCCGGTCGAGCATCAGCTGGGCGGGACGACCGGCGCGCGGCTACCAGCAGACGAGCACTAAGTGCTGGGTCTCCGCTGGAATCCGCACGAGGACACCTTCTCGCTGTCTGTCCGGCTGACTCCAGCGGCCCTACCGACCAAGCAGACCGTACTGGCACAGACCGCTCGCCTGTTCGACCCGCTGGGCTGGCTAGCACCGATTCTCGTACGTGCGAAGTTGCTGATCCAGTCGGCGTGGTTGCAGCAACTAGAGTGGGACGCGCCGCTATCATGCGAGGACGCCGCTGCATGGACAGTCCTCGAGGAGGAATTGCCGTCGCTGGAGGAGATCCGACTGCCACGCTAACTGCACAGCGACACACCATACAGCTCCGTGGAGCTCCACGGCTTTTCGGATGCCTCCGAACGTGCTTACGCTGCCGTGGTCTACAGCAGAGTGAAAAGTGGCGGACTGCTCAGCATCAACCTAGTGGTCGCTAAGAGCAAGGTGGCCCCGTTGAAGCGTGTATCGCTTCCGCGACTGGAACTCTGCGGAACGGCCTTTCTGTCCAAACTAGCCGAACATGTGCGGCTCTCCTTGAATCTGGAGAAGTCGACGATCACCCTCTGGACGGATTCTACTGTGACGCTTGGCTGGATACGTGGACATCCTTCAAAATGGAATACATATGTAGTTAACAGCGTTGCAGAAATTCACCGCGACGACCAGGATGCAAGATGGCGGCACGTACTTGGTAAGGAGAACCTTGCAGACTGTGTCTCCCGGGGAGTGTCGCCGAAGAAGCTCCTTCAACATCCTCTGTGGTGGCGAGGGCCGGAATATCTCCGCCATCGCGCGGACTTTTGGCCGAAGGACGTCGGACACCTGGAAACGGCTGACTTACCGGAGCAGCGACCGTTACGATGCCATGCAGCCACCGAGAAGCGAGAACCTGAGGAGCTCAACCGCTTCTTCTGCCTTCGTCGCTTGCTTTGCGTGTCAGCCTGGATCTGGCGCTGGAGGCCACGAAGACTTCGTTCGACAGATGGTGAAGCTGTGTCGGCGTTCCTGGGACCTAAGGAGCTGGAGGCCGCCCTGTCGAGATGGATCCGGTTAGCTCAGGAGTCGAGTCATACCATGCAGAGCTGCGGGACATCCGTGCTGGAAGGACGCTGCCTGCCCGAAGCTCGCTCCGCAAGATGGTTTTCATGCTGGATGACGAGGGCACCCTGAGAGTCAGCGGGCGCCTAAAACATGCAATTTTGGATGCCGACCAACAACATCCAGTCATTTTGCCGCCGCAATCTCACCTGACTCACCTGGTGATTGACGCCGCCCACAGACGTACATTTCACGGAGGAGTCCAGGCCACCTTAGCTCACATCAGGCAACGATTTTGGATTCCGCGAAGACGCCAACTGGTTCGCCGCCACATCCACAGCTGCCACCCATGCGTCCGATGGCGGGCGGCTACTCCACGGTCAAAGATGGGCGACCTGCCGAGAGCGCGCGTCACTCCGAGCCGTCCATTTCAGCACACCGGCGTGGACCTCGCCGGCCCGGTGTGGCTCAGAACGACGAGAGGCCGAGGACACAAGGCCTACAAAGGCTTCCTAGTTGTATTCGTGTGTTTCAGCTCCCGCGCCGTACACCTTGAGGCCGTCAGCGACTACACCGCCGAGGCATTTCTAGCGGCCTTTCGTCGGTTCGTGTCTCGACGAGGGCACAGTCGTTTACAGCGACTGCGGCACTAACTTTGTAGGCGCGGACCGACAGCTCAGGGACCTCTTCAAGGCTGCTGGCCGTGAGATCCACACTATTGTCGGGCACCTTGCAGACCGAGGAGTACGGTGGAGCTTCAATCCACCGGCAGCTCCACACTTCGGCGGCCTGTGGGAAGCAGCTGTCAAGGCTGTCAAGCATCACCTGCGACGCACCATCGGCGAGGCCAGACACCTCTGAGGAACTGTCGACGTTTCTCACAGAGGTCGAGGCCTGCCTCAATTCAAGGCCGTTCGAGGCCTTGACTGACGACCCGGACGACCTCGATGCCCTGACGCCTGAGCAATTCTTGGTGGGAGACACTCTTTTCGCCATCCCGGAGCCGTCACTCCTGGACTTCCCAACCAATCGGCTGAATCGGTGGCGTCTCCTGCAGCAGATGCGGGACCACCTGTGGCAGCGGTGGACCCGCGAGTATCTGCAGTACCTCAGCCCGCGGCCCAAATGGTGGGCCACTCGTGGAGCCATTCTCGAAAGCCAGTTGTGCCTCGTCAGGGGCGAGAACACCTTGCCGTGCCGGTGGCCGCTTGCTCTGGTCACGCGCGTGCACTGAGGCAATGGTCCGCACAATGGTCCGCAGCATAACGCATGCGCGGATTTTGAACTTATCATAGATGTTTATTAGACTTATATCATTCGTCATTAAATATGCATTTCATAA